CATTATATAATCTAAACCTCAGAGATTCTTCAAAGATGGGAAGCACTGAAATAAGAGAAGTTATGACTTCATTCAAATCACAAAGCATTCCTGTCTTCAGATCCCCTGAGTCAGATTCATTTAGGTCTACATAATGGATTCGAGCAAGATAGCAGATGGAGTCAGACTTTTTTCTTACTAGAGGGAACAAGGCTGGCCATGGTACCCTTGGGTAATCCCAGCACTTGGAAGGAAGATACAGGAGCATCAGGAGTTCAAAGCTATCTTCAGATACTGTAGCATGAAGAAGCCAGCCCTCCCCCAGAGGGAAAATTGAGGTTATCATGGTTGGCTTATGGTGTTACAAAGGCCTGTAATCTCAGCTATTTGGGAGTTGAAGCAATAGGATAACCACTTTGAGGCCAGCCTGGGATACATAATAAGACCCTGTCTTAAAAAGAAAATATGTGATAATATATACCTTTAGTGTTGTGGGAATAATAGAAATATATTTTTAAGGTTGGAAAGTAGCTACAGTAACTACTGTTGGTCTTGTCATAGTAATAATAGCCAAACTATAAGAGCCACGCTCTTTTCTTTATTGAATTCCTGCCTTATGCTTTATTGTGATCACTGAGAAATGTAGATCTCCCTCTTCAAGCGAATATTTTTAGGTTGAAACATTTATATTATTTACAAGCATAGACATGAAAAATGTTTACCAGATCACTAGGAAAGTTTCCTCAATTAGAAAATTTCTTTAAAAAAAATCTAATTTGTGAATTTACCTTATAGAGGATCATCTAGACTTTAAATGCATGGAAGATGGACATACATTACATATTGCGATATGCTAATCCAGTATAGTAGTCTTATGTCAGTATTAAAAGTCTAAAAGATGTGTCATCTATACTTACAGTCTGTTTTCCAAGAGTCAGCCAGGCGTAGGCTTGCACGCCTTTAATTGTTAGAATTTGGAAGATAGAGATAGGCAGATCTCCCTGAGTTCCAGGATAGCTACACAGAGAAACCCTATCTTGAAAAAACAAAAGAAATTAGTATTAAATACCGAGGCTTAAAAATGAAGAATTTAATGAAACATACATTAGGAAAATGTAAATTTCCAAAGCAAGTAACAGGTTTTTAGTATCTGAATAGCATTTTAATAAAAAGCATTAAGACTAATCAGAGATGTCATTTTACATTTAACATAAGAGACTGAGAGGACACTGAGCAGTTATGAACTTATATGCCAAAAGGAATCAAATTTGTTTAAGCAAAAGCTGGAAAAATAAAGAGATGGAAAACAGTGTTAGAAATCTTGAATATACTCTGAGGAGGCACAAAGTAAGATATGTACACAGTGAAAAAAATAATAAAATTAGCACATAAGTGCTACACAGTATCCCCTTATATAGATTAATAACTCATTAGACTAAGTCCAAATCCCCACAAGATTTGAAACTAGAAATGTATTACCTTGTTGTTGATGACTGCTGAGTAGAACTGCAGTTTAAAGTTTGAGTTCTTATGGACATTTAAAACCATTTTCTTAAATAATTTTGAGCCAGTTAAGAAAGATACATTCATATTAGATTATTAAGCATAGAAAATGAAGACAAAAATATAAATGAATGAAGTGAGGAAACAGTAAACTGTTTGGACTAGTAAATTGAACACTAACTAGAAAATCAGAGCTGGTGTTTTGAGTGGTGTTTAGGGTTAAATCTGAGTTTTGGTAACTGAATCAAAGATGAATAGTGTAACAAATATTTGTATTTATCCAGGCAGTTAAAATTCCAGCTGGTGTATGGAGCTCCAGCCTCACCTTGCTCCCCAGGCCTGTGCACAGTGCAGGCTTTGCTTTCACATCACCGCTGCCTGTCGGGTGTGGGGAGCACTCTTCACACAGCTGTAGTTGGACTCTGCACTGCTGACTTACATCCAGCTCTTTTCAGAAGGATTTGAGCATATGAATACTTGAGATAATTGGCATCCTACCCATCACGTGAGAAAACTATAATATAGAGAACTGTTTATTGAGGTACACAGATAAGAAATGTGTACCGAAAGGTAGAGATGAAGAGAAAAATACCATCTGAACCTCATCAGCTACTAGCTTGCCAACCCGGTTTTACCGACTTGCATTTAAGTTTCTTTTAATTAATTTGTTTAAAGATTTTACAATGGGGTGTTGTTATGTGTCCCAGGGATTAACTTTGACCCAGAATGCCTCGATTTGCCAAGAGCTAGGACCACAGGCATGTGCTACCACATGCTTTATACAGCTTATTTTTTTTTAATCTTTTGAGTAGAAGTAAATTAATATGGTTCAGAAATGTATGTTGTTAAAACAGTCCTCATCCATTTCCTGTCTGCTATTTCCCCTAATTTCCTTAACTATGCTATTTTACCTCCATAATTGTCAGTGACAGTTTTGCTCTAATAACATTTTACATTAAATTTATTAAACACTTTTTCAATTCAAGGAGACTCCTTAATGTTACTATTTTGTAACAATTCTTTAAATTAGTGTGGCTTTGCAACTTTTTTAAAAAGAAAATCAGCTGGCCAGTCCATGGTGCATGCCTTTAATTCCAGCACTTGGAAGACAGAGGCAGGCGGATCTCTGAGTTCAAGGTCAGCTTCAAGAGCAGATTCCAGGACAGCAGAGGCTACACACAGAGAAACCCGGTCAGGGGCGTGGGGGGGGGAAGAAAAAGAAAAATCGAGAGAAATAAAATTTTGCCTTTTCCAGCATTTGTACTACAATTGTTTCTTTCTATAACTGTTACTTAGTATTTGTTATTTTATTATTTAGTATTTATTATTTTATCCTTGCACGAATTCTATTAAGGTTCATGTTGTTGTGCTCATTTTCCTAAAGATGCAAATTGAAGTTTGTATTTTGATTATCAGAATTCAAATATAACCTTTGACTATTGAATATGAGATTTATCACTCAGCCAAAATCTTAAAATTGCTAATCATGATTTCAAGTGGTTTATATCTATCTTTCTATTTGTTTGTTTTGTTTTTGAGACAGGGTTTCTCTTTGTAGCCCTGCCTGGCCTGGAATTCACAGATTCCCCAGCTTCTCCTGACTAGTATTAAAGTCATGTCCCACCACTCCTGGCTATATGCATTTGATACACATATAAAGCAGAGAGCCAGACACACAGACAGGGAGAGGAAGGGAGCCAGCTAGAGACCATACTCCTCAACTTGCTGGCCATCCTGTGTCTTTTATACTGTTTAGCTTTTATACTTTCTGCTTTACCAGAAGAAGGGCATTTTTGTCTATAGAGTTCTTAGCACAATAGAGGTTTAGATGTCATCAGTAAATTAAAGAGCATTATAAATATTTTTTTCTTATGAACATAAAATACCATTTTCTGCAATTCTGTTTGTTAAGACTGGGCCTCACGTAGATTGGGCTGACCTTGCACTTTTGATCTTGGTTGTACCCAAGTACTAAGATACAGGTAGCTACTGCCATGCCAAAACTTCTGTTCATTTTTAACTGTTAGGCTTGTTATTTGCCTTATATTTCTAAGTTGCTTTTTCTCTAAGTTATGTTAGTCAGTACATTTTTTCACATGAGGGATTTTTTTCCTTGAGTTATTTTCCCATGTGCATTCATGTGTGCGTGTGTGTGTGTGTGTGTGTGTGTGTGTGTGTGTGTGTGTGTG